ATTATGAAGGCACTTAATGCTTATGAATTTGAGCGTCATGCGGGTTGCAAGACAAAGCACCCGAATAACCACATATACTTTGAGAATGGCAAGACCATATATCAGATAGTTCAGGAGTTGAGAAGTACCCCAGAGAGTATGTTATTTGATGCCATACTGAATGTAACTGGGTCTCCTATCAACCAGAATGCCTTCCGCATTTGGAAAGGTATTGAAACCCTCGGATTCTTCTACTCTTGCTCACAATTAACTCGTTTATTATTTTTGTTCTTCATTTGTTTTTATTAATTTGTCACCTCTCATTGTAATAGAATCATTTCAAGCTGCAACTCGCGAGCTTCGGCGTATTTATGGGAAGGAAGAGCTCAACCTATGATAGAAATTTCAAATTGCAACCGGATACAGATTCATGCAGGGGATGATATTGTATCTTTTTTTTTTGGCCGGACAGAACTTGAATCCGGTAAGCTATGTAAATAGTGTGTGGATAACCAATTTTGGATTTATGTTAATTTCAAATGCAGAGCTGCTCGAATAGGGGAATCGTGGTTTCAACCTTGGTTAGACTGCTTTACATAAATTTTTTTGAATAATCCTGTGAATTATTATCAAATTAACTCAATGTAGAGTTGAAACAACATCACTTGATATTGTACAAAAGAGAAAAAAATTGACGGGCCGTACTGAAAACTGCTTTGAAGTGAAAATATTTTGAGATAGTAAGCATGAGACAACCACTAGTTTTGATTGGTGAATGATAATGCGGTAGTGTAAAGCCCTTGCAATCACAAGAAAGTGTACCACTGAAAAATAGATTTTATTTCAATGACATCTTTAATCATACAATTCAATAAACTTTATTTTTCAATTTTCAATGTGACACCATCAACTTTACTCCTACAATTATAAATCTTCATTAGTCGTAAACTTTAATGCTTATATCTGTTTATGGTGTTTTGTAATTTTGTATGTCAATTTTTTATATTTCGAAATGGTCAATAAACGTCAACTTTTATCCACCCCCAACATTTCTCCAATTCAAATTTCGTATTTCTCAATAATAAATCATAATTTTATTTATTTGTGTGATATGTTGAGTTGGCCCGTTTCTGGGGTTGCCCTGCTAATACGGTCCGTCTTATTGCCCATATACTTGGACCTGTTTTGAAATGCCTAGGTGACAATGGACTGAAATGTTCTAAACCTCAATGTTGGGCTGAGCCAAAATGTTCTCGGGCATCTGTATTTTGTAGGTTGTCCCCATGAAAAAAACTTGCCGCTTACACCTTGATTTGAAGACCGATGATCATGATACCCTTCAAATATTCTTCAGGCTTTTCTATAAAAATATAACATGTAGAGGCATTAAAATTCAGCTACAAATTAATCTAAAAATATTCTTCAGGCTTTTCCATACAAATATAACGCGGCACTAGAGGCAACTAAATTCAGGTACAAATTAATCTAACTCTTGGAATAAAGATTAGAACTATTTCTTTGAATGTGATGATGATATCAAATGATTTATTTGGAAGAGAAGATATTATCATCAGTTTGGTAGTAAACTACATCTCCAAAATCGCCATCAAAATGGTCACTTTGGATGCTTTTCACCAAACTAGGAATCAACTCCAAAATCGCTAACAAAATAGTATATATAGATGTTTGAGTTCTTTCATGAAAATATACAAAATAATAAGAAAATAAGTTATTGCATCATTCTTTTGAATTTAAAATTATTCTACTTAAAGTTTATGTAGGTTAAAAGAATGGAGTAAAAAACTAATTTTTCCCTATCAACAAGTGTATATAAGAATAATATGGTTGTTGTTAGGTAGGTCTAATGGTTAGACAATTATACTTTTTCAATAAATATATACATTCATATACAAGTGACATATTTTAAAAAATAATAAATAAATATATGTCATTTCTCAGCTTAAATATGCATTTTTGTTCAAAAAATAAGACGAGTCGATCCGCCTCGCACAAAAATTTGTGATATAAGAAGTGTAGGTATGGAGATGGAAACTATAGTGTACCTCGGCCATAAAATGCAAGCATTTTCCATTCTTAAACTCCTTCCAAAATAAGGAAAAAATAAATTTGACATTAATATATGCTTAACTTGGAAGTTTTTCACAATCCTACCTGCAAGTTCATATTGAGATTGTGTATTCGTTTGGGATTTCGAGTGACATTTTGAGACTTATTGAGATTTGAGACCTTAAAATTTTCAAATTTTGGAAGAATTTTGTAAAATCTTAAGTTTGGAAGCGGGATTTGAAATGAGATTTTGTATTTGTTTTTTTCTTTAAAAATTCCAACAAATTTTAAAAAGTTTTGACAATCTTAATCTCAAATAAATTAAATACTTTAGGAATTTGTAGACTTTTTTAAATCCCAAAGGAAAACCTCAAAAGTTTTAAAAGTCATAAAAAGTTAAAATTGCTTACACCAAAATTTCTAATATATTAGTCTTTAAAAATTCTAACTGACTACACCTTCTCAGGTATACCACAAATTTTTAATCTATTATCTTGGCCACTGGCCAGCTCTCTCATTTTCTGATTTTCCCAAAAGGAAATATCAGTTAAACCTGCGTATAACAGCAGGATTGCGTATGTAAGAGTAGTTGAACTATTCTGAAAAAGAAGAAATAACTTGACGTGCGGAAAGTTGAGATTATCATCAATATTTAAGACTCTGTATTAAGGTGAAAGTGATGCTTCTTATATTATACCATTTAGCCACGAAAATTGTTAGAGGTAGCGAAAATGGGCACGACATAAAACACGAGCACGAATAGAAAACATGATTGTAAAGACAAATGGTACGATGGATACGACACAACATGACTCGATACGGAACTGATTAAATTTAGGCTTACTATCATTTTTATAGTGAAATAAGAAAGATAATACGAAAATGCAATAGTAAAATATGATCACGATACAATAATACAATTTCCCCCCACCATATATTGCTTCAAGCAAGATGACTTCGTGTTTAGCGAGAACGGGCACTGACATAAAACACGAGCACGACTAGAAAACATGATTGTAAATACTAAATACAAATGGTATGATGGATACGACACAATATGACTCGATCCTGATTAAATTTAGACTTATTATCATTTTCACTGTGAAATAAGATGAATAATATGAGAATGCAATGGTAAAATATGAACATGATACAATATTACAATTTTCCACCACCAAGTATGGCTTCAAGCAAGATGACTTCGTGTTTATTCAATAGAATTCATTAAAGAACATAAACCATTTCACTATGTTAACAACTATAGGATATTGTTTTATTTGAATGCCCAAATAAAAAAGAAATAGTGGAATTTAATTTTTATAATATAAAACTGTGTAATATGGAAAATAGTAAAGTAGTTATTGATAGTTATAGCGAAACATTGTAATTTATTTTCTTTTTGAATTTTATTGACAAAATTTAGTATATGAAGATTCTAAAGGTAAAATATAGTGCATCTTTTATTTGGTGGATAAAAAAGAAATATTGATAGCCAACCAGGCTTTCAATAAATCTTCATGAATTTCAATAATAATAAATTAAGTGAGACATTTTAACTTTTAAGTATTAAGACTTTAACTAGATTAGACAACTGAATACAATTGAATTAAACTGATTTTTAATAAATAATTGAAAAAACAAAGAATTTTTCATAAAAGATTATGTTTTTATTGTTTAAAATAAAGAAATCATTTATGTATACATGTATCTAATCTAATGTTTGTATCATCATACCATTATTCTTAAAGTAAATAAACAATTATGATGTTAAATGTATAGTCATTGTAATTTAATACTCTTCATATTTTTTAATCTTCTAGAATTCCATAATCACCTGCGGAGTCAAACTTGAAATTTAAATACCTTTTAGAACATTAAAAAAGGAAACAACCTTTCTTAGATGCAAAATAAAATGAGAATAAATAAATAAAATGAAAAACCTGTCTCCACCATTTATATAGTTATTGTGTAATTAATGTATAATTAGTTGGTGTCCTCCCTTTTTTGCATTACCAATAATCCTATTTTAGTTAAAATGTAAATAATCACAGTTTTACCATGATATTAATTAACAAAACCATTCTATCTTTTTCATAATAAAACCAGTACAGAGAGAGAGATTAATGAACTGAATATAAAGCACCCTCCAAATTGTGGGTGTTCGTTTGGGCATGCATTGAAGCACACCACCAGTTGTAAATTAGCACATTTAGCATGACAAAAAACAAAACGTTATTATTTTTTTTAAATTAAGTTCAAGTTTATTTATTTTTAGCGCCATTGTATATATCGTGTAAGTGATGTGAATATGTAACGACAATAAACTGACTTGAAAAGTTTCATGAGCCATCACATGAGCTTGTATCGTTTCTCCTGGACGCCGGTTACCCCCATTTGAATCTCTATTATTGTGTGAAGTGGCATCTGCAGAAAAATGCATCACCAAAACGTGTTTTCAGACTTCGAAAAAAGCAGATATGATTACATGATAGATGCACAAATGTGATATGATGGTTTTGATTCCAATAGAACGATAACACGCATCTAACTGCTGAAAGTTACTTCTTAGGTCTAGGTACACATTATCGCACTTTAAGTAAAAAATACCACGAGTACATTACCTCTAGGTGAGGAATCTCTTTCAAAGGCCGATCTGCAAAATATGCATACAAAGCCCTCAACACAGCCTGTATAAAATTTCAACGAACTTGTTTAGCAGCTAAATTACAATGCATTCTGGGAGAAGTACTAATTTGTGGGTTTAACACTTTAACGGCATGACCTGGTGAGATATCACAACAACAGGAGCTCTTTGCCGTTCAAGCTCAATAATCACAGGCTCTAGCCTGAAAAGAGAAGTACTTTTCAGTATGGTAGGTATGGAAAATACACTACGGCAATACAATTAAAGTCCAGCTTTTTCCGGTTCAACACCTCCATAAGACAGCAGAAAACAAACCTTTGTATAACATCAAGGTATGATTCTCCGCGAGGATATCTGTACCTTAATTTGTCCTTTTTACGAGATCTGTGATAAGGGAATAAAACTAAACTTAGCAGAAGCGAACTAACATCGTAATTTGTCAGCACTAACTGCAAAAAGGTTGACATATCAAAGAAAAAGTTGTAACTTACTCTTTCGAAAAAGAAGAAATTAGATACAACAGAAGATTACACTAAAGAAAAACAATGAAAACAAATGACTAAACGAGAAAATGGAATGTTCAAGATTTTGCTACAATTGAGGAAGGAAAAAAAACAAATTACAAATCCTAAGCTACAGGATGATAGGGATTTTATATATCATGATCTTAATTACTTATAAGATTAGGTTTCATCTCATTAAGTTTGGTAAGAAAGTTATTATATTTCCCTTTTGGCTTTTGGCGGTTTGTAGGACTGAGAAATGGAGTTATCGACTCATGGAAACTGAAGCATACTCATATTTAAAACATAATGAAGAGAGTAAACATGGAAACTGAAGCATACTCATATTCCTCTGGCATATTTTTCTTTATTTCTTCATACGTCATCCCATCGCATACACCAGCATTAATTTCATCAAGTGCACGCCATTGAATCTTCAAAAGATTATATCCCGAAATCAGCTCAGAATATTAATAACTCGACATCGTACTGATGTAAACAGTGACAATTACTGCATAACCTTTGGAAATCCAACTATTGGACTTGCTGTTAAAATTGTTCTCTGCAATGTGCTGGTCCATATCTATGACACAGGCGAAACAGACAAATGTTGAACTTAGTTTTTGCATATTACAGTGTTATGTAATAACACATTAACATTTTTCAGGAATTTTGTGCCTGCAAAATCGTGACACGATATGAACAACAAACAAATCACAATTTTTTATGGTAGACTATTCGCAGCCATCGCATACTTTAGCAGCAAAATAATACAGACTACTGACTCCTCATCCCCAACTTTCAAAGAGAAAGAAAGGTAACCACAATATCAGATAAATAGTGATGTAAAAAGGGAATATTGTGGTGTCAAACTCATACAAACACGAACGAAAAGAAAAAGGAAAGACCGCACAGGATATTTTGAATATAAAAGGTACTTTTTGTTTCCAGAGGCTAATGTATTTGGTTTCTGTACATGTTATTAAAAGAACAACAATTATTTGAAGCTGCTCAGCTAATGTGTAATAGAATACCCCCACAGAGGATATTGTATATTAAAAGATACTTTTTGTTTCCAGAGTTGGGTCTAGAATGGATGTTTATACATTTCGGCGAAGTTTAAGTAGATCCATAACATATAAAACATGGTTACTCTGTTGGGGTCCAGTCCAAGCTATGATTGCAAAAATCAGTGAACAAAACCACCATTAAGAATTTCATATTTGACCCCCCCCAAAACAAAAGTACGTGATCTACAAATAACTGTGTAGCCAAGATAAAAGAGATTGGTAATTGGTCGTAATTTGTTAGTTCACTAAAGAGCAACACTGACATTTACTGGACAGCCAACAATAGTGTCCATGTTTAGACAGATCTTCACTTTAATATATAATAATGCTTCATAATAACATGAGTAATAATATGAAACAGAGAACTTCACAAGACCCCATTTCCAATAACCAACACTGTACCGCCCAATTGAAACACCGTCGAAAGGCCCAGACTCCCTAAAAATGTAAACATAACTCTGTAAAATGAAACTCAGGTGAAGATTCGAAAAACCTAACAAAAGCACAGACCCGAAATAAATATAACTAAATCTCATCACACATCAGTGAATTGGAGAAACTTACAGAAGCAGCTTTTTCGTTCTTCAGACGTTTTTCAACAAAATTTGCAAGTTTCTTCGCATAAAGCTCACCAGAGTCACTGAGAAAAGAGGATTAGAAACTGAACACCCTAAATTATGTAGGTGATAAACCACGTCAATTACAAAAGAACAAAAAAAAAAAAAAAGTATCCCGGGAAAAACAGACCTTACTACAAGTACATTGGTAAGGTCAAATGGACTTTTGCTACAAGCTAGAAACCTCATATTCTTATGTCTGAAATATGATAGTGGTCCTTAAAGAAAGGTGCTAACAATCTACTTTTATCGAAAGGATTTTCATGGGGAAATAATAAGAAAGAGATAAGTCCACCCCTATCCTGTCCATTTCTCAGTTTCAACTTGAATCAGATTAGCCAGTTATACTACAATAAACCTTTGATGGCGATAGAAATTTAAGCAAAGATAGTAGTTGGTTTTACTGGCATATAATCCCCCATGGAAGGGAATGCAGACTAGAACCTTAAATATGTCGTTCATTTTTCATATAGTATATCAAATTTAGCTACATAGAATTCTGACCGCAAGCAATAACAAGTTAGATAATGACTTCATGTTCCACTGAGAACCTTATCACACTGTCGCCACCAATTCGACCTCTGACATTGTCTCGGCTCTCTCCATGCCTCGTAAGCAAAATTGGGCGAGGAGTCAGATGTGTATTTACCTGCAAAGTAATAGGAAGCTTAATTATAACTCACATCTCACATCACAATTTAATGTTGTACCTATGCAATTTCCTTCCAAAAAGCAGCAAACAAGAAAGAGAAGTTAGGACACTGAATAATAAAGACAAAAACATTAAAAGCGAGAAAATGGCTATCTGAGTCGTAACTTTAGTGATTATGGTAAGCCATATCTATGTTTCAGAAATAGAGCCGTTGCTAAAGCTTTTAACATGTTTCAACAGTTCCTTTCATCATGATTCCTAAGTTCTGAAGATAACATCCTGACAAGGTTAAGGCTAAAAGTACAGCAATTCAGAGAAGGTAGGTCTGCAGAAGCACAGAAATAGGACTGCCGTTGGAATACATGGATATTTATAATAAACGAGCTATGAATTTAGTGGAATTATGGATGCCAAAGAAAGTATGGTATAAGAATGATTTTGTGTGGTAAACATAATTCTTTAAAAAGGGAAACACGCTTAATTTAGGGAAACACACTTAATTTAAGTTCGAAAGTTAAAAAGGAAAAAGAAAGCAGAAAACTCAGTTACCAGGAAGAACACAATCCGTCCAGGAAGGTACCCACTAATGTTGTTCACCTGTTATACAAAATACACTATCACTTACATTACATTGATTAAGATTAAACTTCCAAATATATCTATACACATAGTTATACATCTTTTTCCTGTTACAGTGTCGAGAAGAAATAATGGCAATACAACAATCAAGGAATGATTGCACATTAGGTCATCAAATTTTGGTAACAACTCAGGTATATTTGGTCAAGCAAATAGAGAAAGAATAAAATGAATAGATGGATGCAATAACGATGAAAGGGGATATACTTGTATCTGTCCACCGTGCCCACTGACCATATCAATCATCTTGATATAAGAGCCTTCTTCCACAGGTTCATAAACCTGAACAGAAAAAAATTTACCCTTAAACCTTAGTTTTTTTTCTTCTACAGCACAGCACGTCAAACTATCAAACAATGTCCATGAAGTACCTTTTCGTAATTTTCCAGTCTGACTTTAAAGTCTTGATAACCTGCTTCAAAATCTGGCCTGAAATGATTACAAATTATAATATGATATTACAGGGTGAAGAATGATGCAAATCTTCTAGCGACATACTCTTCAGCGTAGTCCGGGCTTTGCTGAACCTTCAGACGTATATTTCTTTCAATTATTTTCCGATCATTGCATATTGTCTCTAAAAAGATGATCTGTAAATATTCATTCACTCAAGGTCAGACATCTAGAAAAAATTTAAGCATACATCATATTTCAGTTTGTGAATCTGAAAAGTAACATTTCTTAAATTTTACAGAACTACAAAGTTGAACAGAGCAACCAAAACTTAGTAATGTACCTTGCATTTGCCTTCAGCCATTCTCATAAGCATATTCCTCCTACTTCTGGTACTGTTTGTAGCATCAAATATCCCAACCTAAACATAATTAGAATACATTATGATGTTATTAGATAAATGTGCACACTAACTAAATCAAATTACTTACCTGGCCACCCTCTTGCATCCAAGATATCATATCCTCCATTGCAAGTGCTGCTACCTAGTAGCAGGTCAGGAATTAAAACTATTTGCAAGGGAAAGGGTAAAAAATACAGTCACAAATTACAATATTGAAAGGGAAAAAAAAATCCACATAATGCACATAGTATAATTCCGCTTAAGGAAAGGAAACCATTAGCCAGTACAACAATCAAGCTGCCATAATTTAATTATCAATAATATATTTTTATCTTTTCACCCATAAACGTAAAACATGGTACTTGTAATGAGACTACTGCAGTTTACGATATTTCGATACAACATTTTCACATCGAAGAAAACCGTTATGCTCTTCCAGACATCTATATTATGTACAGATTTTACGTAGAATTAATAGGGAGTAAACTCTTGAGGAAGTTCTAGCAGTAACATTTGGCTCTTGAGAGCATTACTGCTATGATCGTTGTGCTAGCAAGTATACTCAGGGAAAACAATGTACATCCTAGGTTGCACACATGTTATGTCAGGACAAGCTTATGCTTCAGATGCAGTTATGTATGTTATGAGAGATCACGCAACTGAGACATGGATGTGTTTAACGGACAATTTTGTGGCCTAAGAAATTGTGAAAATACTGGCACGCGGTAAGAAATGTAAGCACTTAGCACCTCTTGGAACATGTATACATTAATGAAGGACATGATATCATCCACCATACAGTGAGAATAAAATAAAACATCTTGTCTAATGACCCTTGAATCTTCATTTCACTAGGAACACGAGCAGTACGTAAAAACTGGTAATTCTTGGATTTGAACTAAATGAAATTGTGAGAGAAAATGAAACAAAGTGAAGCTGATTGTTTTGGGAATGAAATCTTAATTATGAAGGTTCCAAGATGCGAGATTTAGCATTAAGCGTGGAAAGGGAAACTAACGCTGAGTTCTAAACAAATACTCCCTGATCATAAATTATCAGGATAACATAACTCCAAGATAAAATAACATCATACGAGACATGAAAAAAATATCCTGGCAATATATAATCGAGTCTTACACACGAAACCGTCTAAAGCACTAATGAACATAGTTCGGTTTTTAAAGAATTTCTGAAATTGTAAAGGAAAAGGCACCTCATTCCGTGCTTCTATGCCTTCAGGGTTGTCACCACGAAAAAAATCAGCTGACTGCATCCAGAAAGTAAATACAGATTTTGACCAATGACTCAGTTTTAATGAGAAAAGCAGGAATAATTAATTATAAATTCCGGGAAAGTTCAAGTTCCATATGGTACCAATTATGGCCTCATTTCTCGTAACCACAGCATGCACTTTGTCATTCCATATGATCTTGGCACCATAAATTTAATAGTAGTAGATTGAACTTACAGTTTATGGGATCCTCTACAGAACAGTTTAGGTAGTTATACTTCCTATATACAAAGGACGTGTAAACTGGGCGAAAACAGAGAAACAGTGAGGATTTGTACTCACATATTCATAGACTTCTTCCCCTGCTCCCCTTAATTTAGCATTTAAGAACACTTATAAAAATTCAGTTATTTCAAGTGGCCAGAGACAATAATATGAATATCACTGCAGCTATTCTTGAAATACGTCATTAACTTAACAATGGTTCTGTTGACATCTAAGTAATATACTATTTCTTCTGAATTAGAGTACAAAAATGCCACGATACTGAAAACAAAGGGCTGTTATTACACCATAGGTCTGAATTTTGCTTTGCTGACCATATCTGCAGCAAATAAAATCAATTGATGAACTACTTGAGAAACAGCTAGGCCCTTGGAATCACATCCAAAAGGAGGTGAACAGAGCAAAATAGAGAAAAGAACGCCGATTCTTCAATCAACAACAAAAATATAAAGCACGTGAAGTCAGTTTTACATTCAAGAAATGGTGTTCAGAATATTGTGTAGATAACTGGTTCCTTAATATACCATGATCATAAAGTAACTCAAGTGGTATGCATCTCTTACTCTCTAAGGTGTTCATCAACCCTGAACCTTTCAGTTCCTTTTGTTTTTATTCCCTCCACTACACAACACCCACAACTATAGGCTAAACAAATAATCCTAAATTAAATCCAATACAACCATAGGAAGAAGTTAAGCGAACAACTGATAGTACCTGATTAACTCCATGCTTTAGTCTCCGATACTGCAACAGAAAAACACAATAATGAAGTTTTTTTTTTTTTCTTTTTTTTCAATAAGAACCAAAAATAAAGACAATACAATAAAAATAATGCTAACCTTTCCAACATTGAAGTGTTTGGTGTCATGACCTAACCAACGAAGATACCTAGTAAGTTTAGCAGCTGTGAAGGTTTTGCCGCGTGCAGGCAATCCAACCTGTAATAAACATATGCTCAACTAGATGTCAAACCACAACTCAAAACCCTCAAACAAGTCTTCTCCACATTATGAACAGTGTTAAGAGCAGCCTGAATAATAAGGAATTACAAGAAATGACCGGTAGTGGAGATTATTCTGATTACAGAAAGATTTGGCTCACTTTTAAAATCACAGTACCATCTTACTAGCTTCACATTTTATAAACCACATCCTAATGGGGGATCTCTAAAGAAAATGCAAGCCTTATGGGATGTTTGTAATTTTGATCGGTATTTTGATTCTAATAATAATCGAGTTATTCATAATCAGATTAAAGCTCAATGGTAATTTATGCAATCATCCCAAAATATAGGTAATTGCAAATTCTTATATGCATTATAAATACAAAGAAACTTGCATCAAGTGTAAGCAGTATACAGAAAGTACCAATACAATTGCCAGATGTCTATCCTCCTTTGGTCCGAGCATCTGGTCAGCTACAGCACCAGCTGCAACAGCCCCTGCAGCTGCTGGCATAGAGTTCTAGAGAACCCATTGAGAAATGAGATATGCGTATGAATATTTCAGCATTCTTAAATGTGGATAGTAAATAGTTAATGACTCTACAGACCTTTGCCTCCGAAACAAGTTTGGGATCAACAGTGAACACTGATGCACTAGCCGATTTCATAGGTCTGGGAGATCCAACCCCCCGATCCACAAACAGCCCTCTGTGACTTTCTAGTCTCTGCACAGATAAAAAAAGTTCAACGGACTTTGACACAACCAACCCAGATCCTGAAGACAACATTGTTGAGCCTGGGATAATGAAAAAGGAAGACATATATTGAATCAAAATAAGAACAAGATATAAGCTAGAACCAGGATCCGGGTTAGAAACAATAAATAGGGGGACATCCCAAGGCCACAAGGGTCTGCACTTGCAAAACTATTATGGGTGTCTTATGCAACCACTTATTATATCATTTTAAATTTGTCTGTTTACTTTAAAATTTAAAAGCAAGCAACTATTCATCGTATTAGCAAGGTAAGAAGACGTGGATGAAGTTCTGTTGTCTTGACAAAGGAACAGATGGCCAGTTTCCTAGGAAGATTACATTGAACAAAATATCAATCTGCCGATTTTGCTAATGGAAGATTTTGGTTTACAAATACTTACACGTCCATAAACCTTAAGTGAGCATGATGGCCACTCTCTACATGCCAACCAGATATATCATAACCATAAGGTATCTATTCCATCTTAACACCAGCACATGAATTCTATAGAA